CACAGCTCTAACCCAAACACAGCTCATCAGCGCAGCTCTAACCCAAACACAGCTCTAACCCAAACACAGCTCATCAGTGCAGCTCTAACCCAAACACAGCTCATCAGTGCTGCTCTAACCCAAACCCAAACACAGCTCATCAGTGCAGCTCTAACCCAAACACAGCTCATCAGTGCGGCTCTAACCCAAACACAGCTCATCAGTGCGGCTCTAACCCAAACACAGCTCATCAGTGCGGCTCTAACCCAAACACAGCTCATCAGTGCGGCTCTAACCCAAACACAGCTCATCAGTGCGGCTCTAACCCAAACACAGCTCATCAGTGCGGCTCTAACCCAAACACAGCTCATCAGTGCTGCTCTAACCCAAACACAGCTCATCAGTGCGGCTCTAACCCAAACACAGCTCATCAGCGCGGCTCTAACCCAAACACAGCTCATCAGCGCGGCTCTAACCCAAACACAGCTCATCAGCGCGGCTCTAACCCAAACACAGCTCATCAGCGCGGCTCTAACCCAAACACAGCTCATCAGCGCGGCTCTAACCCAAACACAGCTCATCAGTGCAGCTCTAACCCAAACACAGCTCATCAGTGCGGCTCTAACCCAAACACAGCTCATCAGTGCGGCTCTAACCCAAACACAGCTCATCAGTGCAGCTCTAACCCAAACACAGCTCATCAGTGCGGCTCTAACCCAAACACAGCTCATCAGTGCGGCTCTAACCCAAACACAGCTCATCAGTGCAGCTCTAACCCAAACACAGCTCATCAGTGCTGCTCTAACCCAAACCCAAACACAGCTCATCAGTGCAGCTCTAACCCAAACACAGCTCATCAGTGCGGCTCTAACCCAAACACAGCTCATCAGTGCGGCTCTAACCCAAACACAGCTCATCAGTGCAGCTCTAACCCAAACACAGCTCATCAGCGCAGCTCTAACCCAAACCCAAACACAGCTCATCAGCGCGGCTCTAACCCAAACAGCTCATCAGTGCAGCTCTAACCCAAACACAGCTCATCAGTGCGGCTCTAACCCAAACACAGCTCATCAGTGCGGCTCTAACCCAAACACAGCTCATCAGTGCAGCTCTAACCCAAACACAGCTCATCAGCGCAGCTCTAACCCAAACCCAAACACAGCTCATCAGCGCGGCTCTAACCCAAACACAGCTCATCAGCGCGGCTCTAACCCAAACACAGCTCATCAGCGCGGCTCTAACCCAAACACAGCTCATCAGTGCAGCTCTAACCCAAACACAGCTCATCAGCGCGGCTCTAACCCAAACACAGCTCATCAGCGCGGCTCTAACCCAAACACAGCTCATCAGTGCGGCTCTAACCCAAACACAGCTCATCAGTGCGGCTCTAACCCAAACACAGCTCATCAGTGCGGCTCTAACCCAAACACAGCTCATCAGTGCGGCTCTAACCCAAACACAGCTCATCAGTGCGGCTCTAACCCAAACACAGCTCATCAGTGCGGCTCTAACCCAAACACAGCTCATCAGCGCGGCTCTAACCCAAACACAGCTCATCAGCGCGGCTCTAACCCAAACACAGCTCATCAGTGCGGCTCTAACCCAAACACAGCTCGTCAGTGCTGCTCTAACCCAAACACAGCTCATCAGTGCGGCTCTAACCCAAACACAGCTCGTCAGTGCTGCTCTAACCCAAACACAGCTCGTCAGTGCTGCTCTAACCCAAACACAGCTCATCAGCGCGGCTCTAACCCAAACACAGCTCATCAGCGCGGCTCTAACCCAAACACAGCTCATCAGTGCGGCTCTAACCCAAACACAGCTCATCAGCGCGGCTCTAACCCAAACACAGCTCATCAGCGCGGCTCTAACCCAAACACAGCTCATCAGTGCGGCTCTAACCCAAACACAGCTCATCAGTGCGGCTCTAACCCAAACACAGCTCATCAGTGCGGCTCTAACCCAAACACAGCTCATCAGCGCGGCTCTAACCCAAACACAGCTCATCAGCGCTGCTCTAACCCAAACACAGCTCATCAGCGCGGCTCTAACCCAAACACAGCTCTAACCCAAACACAGCTCATCAGTGCAGCTCTAACCCAAACACAGCTCTAACCCAAACACAGCTCATCAGTGCAGCTCTAACCCAAACACAGCTCATCAGTGCGGCTCTAACCCAAACACAGCTCATCAGCGCTGCTCTAACCCAAACACAGCTCATCAGCGCGGCTCTAACCCAAACACAGCTCTAACCCAAACACAGCTCATCAGTGCAGCTCTAACCCAAACACAGCTCTAACCCAAACACAGCTCATCAGTGCAGCTCTAACCCAAACACAGCTCATCAGCGCAGCTCTAACCCAAACACAGCTCTAACCCAAACACAGCTCATCAGTGCAGCTCTAACCCAAACACAGCTCATCAGTGCGGCTCTAACCCAAACACAGCTCATCAGCGCGGCTCTAACCCAAACACAGCTCATCAGCGCGGCTCTAACCCAAACACAGCTCATCAGTGCAGCTCTAACCCAAACACAGCTCATCAGTGCAGCTCTAACCCAAACACAGCTCATCAGTGCAGCTCTAACCCAAACACAGCTCATCAGTGCAGCTCTAACCCAAACACAGCTCATCAGTGCGGCTCTAACCCAAACACAGCTCATCAGTGCGGCTCTAACCCAAACACAGCTCATCAGCGCGGCTCTAACCCAAACACAGCTCATCAGTGCGGCTCTAACCCAAACACAGCTCATCAGTGCGGCTCTAACCCAAACACAGCTCATCAGTGCAGCTCTAACCCAAACACAGCTCATCAGCGCGGCTCTAACCCAAACACAGCTCATCAGTGCGGCTCTAACCCAAACACAGCTCATCAGTGCGGCTCTAACCCAAACACAGCTCATCAGCGCGGCTCTAACCCAAACACAGCTCATCAGCGCGGCTCTAACCCAAACACAGCTCATCAGCGCGGCTCTAACCCAAACACAGCTCATCAGTGCAGCTCTAACCCAAACACAGCTCATCAGTGCGGCTCTAACCCAAACACAGCTCATCAGTGCGGCTCTAACCCAAACACAGCTCATCAGTGCGGCTCTAACCCAAACACAGCTCATCAGTGCGGCTCTAACCCAAACACAGCTCATCAGTGCGGCTCTAACCCAAACACAGCTCTAACCCAAACACAGCTCATCAGTGCAGCTCTAACCCAAACACAGCTCATCAGTGCAGCTCTAACCCAAACACAGCTCATCAGTGCAGCTCTAACCCAAACACAGCTCATCAGCGCGGCTCTAACCCAAACACAGCTCATCAGTGCGGCTCTAACCCAAACACAGCTCATCAGCGCGGCTCTAACCCAAACACAGCTCATCAGCGCGGCTCTAACCCAAACACAGCTCATCAGCACGGCTCTAACCCAAACACAGCTCATCAGCGCAGCTCTAACCCAAACACAGCTCATCAGTGCAGCTCTAACCCAAACACAGCTCATCAGTGCAGCTCTAACCCAAACACAGCTCATCAGTGCAGCTCTAACCCAAACACAGCTCATCAGTGCGGCTCTAACCCAAACACAGCTCATCAGTGCGGCTCTAACCCAAACACAGCTCATCAGCGCAGCTCTAACCCAAACACAGCTCATCAGTGCGGCTCTAACCCAAACACAGCTCATCAGTGCTGCTCTAACCCAAACACAGCTCATCAGTGCGGCTCTAACCCAAACACAGCTTATCAGCGCGGCTCTAACCCAAACACAGCTCATCAGTGCGGCTCTAACCCAAACACAGCTCTAACCCAAACACAGCTCATCAGTGCAGCTCTAACCCAAACACAGCTCATCAGTGCGGCTCTAACCCAAACACAGCTCATCAGTGCAGCTCTAACCCAAACACAGCTCATCAGTGCGGCTCTAACCCAAACACAGCTCATCAGTGCGGCTCTAACCCAAACACAGCTCATCAGTGCGGCTCTAACCCAAACACAGCTCATCAGTGCGGCTCTAACCCAAACACAGCTCATCAGTGCAGCTCTAACCCAAACACAGCTCATCAGTGCAGCTCTAACCCAAACACAGCTCATCAGTGCAGCTCTAACCCAAACACAGCTCATCAGTGCAGCTCTAACCCAAACACAGCTCATCAGCGCGGCTCTAACCCAAACACAGCTCATCAGTGCGGCTCTAACCCAAACACAGCTCATCAGCGCGGCTCTAACCCAAACACAGCTCATCAGCGCGGCTCTAACCCAAACACAGCTCATCAGCGCGGCTCTAACCCAAACACAGCTCATCAGCGCGGCTCTAACCCAAACACAGCTCATCAGTGCAGCTCTAACCCAAACACAGCTCATCAGTGCAGCTCTAACCCAAACACAGCTCATCAGTGCAGCTCTAACCCAAACACAGCTCATCAGTGCGGCTCTAACCCAAACACAGCTCATCAGTGCGGCTCTAACCCAAACACAGCTCATCAGTGCAGCTCTAACCCAAACACAGCTCATCAGTGCTGCTCTAACCCAAACACAGCTCATCAGTGCGGCTCTAACCCAAACACAGCTCATCAGTGCAGCTCTAACCCAAACACAGCTCATCAGTGCGGCTCTAACCCA